AAGGACTTTTAAGCTCCAAAGTGGCTCTGGCAACTTTTTCACAGAGTGGGTTACAATTACATATGACTCTCTGGAAAGTGGCTGGAGCGTCTGTCATAGACTCCTGTGTAATTTCAAGCCGCAGCCAAGTATCTTGGACACGGCCCGACTCTTTACCTCTGGATACGTATTGACTGGTCTTGGTGTCCCTGCGTGGCGATCATGACGTCCGCCTCGTCAAGCACAAACACACTGATCTTGCTCATTTCGACGAAGCGGAACTTGATGCACCAGTCCAGCATAGTGCCCGGTGTGCCAATGACAATGTGGTGCTCGATCTTTGTCCCCTTGGGAACTGTGGGTTAGAGTTGAAGAGGTCGGAACAGACAGCTCTGATCAAAAACTTCTAAAATTGGGCCAGTTAATATGCTCAACAGATTTTTGACAACCGCATTTCCCAAACACATTGTCAATTTCTGAGAAGGTATAACCGAGACAGTTAGGACTTTGTGGGGAACTTTACGCATGTATTTGAAAAAAGGCTGGAAAATTTCTGACCAGAAGCAGGAAAACCCCTTATTGCAGCAGAGCCTTGAGAATTGCTTATCACAGAAGTATCTTTTGTGGGGGGGAGGGCCGGGGAAAGGAGAAGGCAGGCAGAAATTCTGGGGGTTCAAAGCCCATTCAATCTCTCCCTTCTTTGGTCTGCCAAACACCCCTAGGTAGTGTTAGCAAATGTAGGCCCGGACATGCTGTGCCTACAAGGCTTTCTGCTGGATGTTGCTCCATAGATCTGGAAGCGAGAGGGTGGCGGTGGTGTGCCTTACGTTTGTTCCCTCTGACCGCGTAGATGATCTTCAGCTGCGTCATGTTCTTGCCCATCTGTTCCACCACGGCGCCGATCTGCATGGCAAGCTCCAGCGTGGGCGCCAGGCAGATTGCCTGCAGGGTCAAAGTTGAAATAAAAGGTCAACGGAGGGAATACCGCCCTTCATCCTAAAACGAGCCGGATGGGACGGATTAATCACACTGGATGTCTTTACAGGCATGCCACGTTTTGAAAAGATTAGTCACAAATGCTGAGACGTCGCGGTGAAATCTGCCCAACCCGTTTCCCCAGCTGAGGGATGAAATAAAACCTGGTCTAATAGTGGTGAGCTTCTCTTACAAGGTTCCAGCAAACAATACTTCCTAAATACATCTGACAGACTATTTAGACAGTCCTTTGAAATCTGCCAATTTCTAGGAGTGTAATGACAAATTTAACTTTCCACATTGAATGGGCAGCATTGATCGATGAAAACTTTGTCCTTTAATCCCCCTTGCCGTGTATATGCGTAACACATGCCAAACATACCTGTGGCCAGTTGTTGCTTACGTTGACCCTACTAAGCATAGTAAGGACAAAGGCAGCTGTCTTTCCTGTGCCGCTCTGTGACTGGGCGATCATATTCTTTGGTCTGTTCAAGGCACAAACAAGGGTACTTTTGTAAGTTGGTGTTTATATCCACAGCATTGGGGTGTCCTTGGGATATAGTGCCTTATCTGTTACACAATGCAACTATTGATTTTTTTTGGGGGGGGATATATGCCAATATATGTCAATTTTTGTTAACTCATACTGTGTTCTGATGGATTGACCCTTGCAGTATAGACAAAGCTGACAAGACGCCATTCCAAGGGGCCATTTACAGTCACGCAGCCGTCTCAACCTGAGCGCGCTCACACTTCGGCGACTGACTACTGCTTATTGGTCAGCGAGGAATTTCACGAGCGTGCACCGCCTGCGTGCAAACAGGATGGCCCCGTAGCAATGGCTTTTAATTTTGGTTGTTGGATTTGTCTATTGGATGGATGCAAAAACTACAGAGGGCGCCGACGACTCCACAGACTAATACAGCCACATACAGATTACCGTATACTTGGCAATGGCTTGCAGTAATGCATGAGTCCATTGGGAGTGGCTGAAGCCACTGGCTTATGGTTTCCATGGGTGCACATATTATTTCCAGCCATAGCCTAGTAAATTGAACGAGGGGATTTGTAATGACTGGTACTGAAGTGAGTGGAATGGGACAAAAAATCAATCCAGCCGAGTAAAGATGATCTTCATGAAGTCCAACCGTCAGATTTGGGGAAAGGCGCACTTCAAACAAGATAATGGGTGGGTGGTGGGTGAGTGTGTAAACCCCTTCAATTGTGGACCTATAACAATAGGGGACAATAGGGTCCATGGTTGCCGAAGAGTCCACGGTTAGAAAACGTGTACAAAACAGGTCTTCCGAAAAAGTTAAAGTATGAACAAAAGAGGAACAATAGGGAGTCCACGATTGAAGGCATTTACACACTTGTGTGAGTGGTTGGGTTTGAGAGGGTTGAGACAGGCGAGTGAGTGAGTGAGCGAGCGAGTAAATGAGCGAGCAGCAGAGTGAGCTACTTACGGGTCTGCAAGGAGAAGAGGAAGTGCTGTTTCTTGGATCTTTGAGGGAGCATTGAAGCCCATCTCATAAACGCCTTTCAACAGGTCAGGCTTTCTGGAGAAAAAATGGACAGAGAGAAAAGAAATGAAAACCTGGGTGAATTGAAATGGTGAAATGCTAACATTTGGTTCCCTTAATATCACCCAATTTATCTGAATTTACTGATGGTAGGAAGGTTTGTAGCATTGTTAACTTTGAAATGAATGACAATTTTAACAGAAAACATTAAAAAATGAATACATGATGCCGGATGACGTCTAGCTTTCACCTTGAGGCCAGTTTCGACTTCTGGTAAATGCAAAAGCGGGGGTCGAAATTAACTGTGGTCTGCTGGCCCAGGGCCACCAAAAATTCATCGGGCCACTGCATTCTCCTAAAACAATGCCCCCGTGGGACAGTGGTCATTTGAGGAACATTGCCACATTTTCAAAACTTTCATCACATTTATGACTCATGTTTCAAATCACTGGCGCAGGACTTTCAAGTTCACGGTATAATTCCACAGTCCGTGCGGCCGGGCTTGTGTGCCACACACACACACGTAGCGGCGTGACATGCTCATACATGTACACATGGGGCAGGCACCTACCCCGGTGTGTTAGCTGGTATCATTTTCTAGCAATACCAGTTTAACGTTATCTCCTACGGCCACCAATGAAACCTTTACAGGTCATATCGCATTGAGTCCGATCATCTAGTACAAGCAATATTAACCATGAATTAATTTTGTGAACACCAAAAATACACATAGACAACAAAAATTGTGGGAATTAACTTGTAGAAATGTTCCTGCGACATCTGTTTCCGATGTGCAGCTGTAGAGTTGCGTGGTTGGTTGGTTGCCGCATTATCATCATGGCTTCCTTGGCAGTGGCACAGTGAGCGGGAACCAGTGAAACCTTGCTTCTATGCATCGAGCAATACTGCTTGCATGTTTTTGCCAGCACGATAGCGAAATGCGAAGGGAACTTGCGAAAATAACAGCAACTTTCTTTCCAAATGTGGCAAACGTAAGCAGGCAAAACAAAAAATACAGTTTTTTAGATGTGAAAAAATTGTTGAGGTGTTTTGTGAAGAGAGGAAAGACAGGATTTTTTTTTCAAATTTTAAAATGTGTTTTTCTAACTAACTTACCAATATAAAGAAGCAGAACTAGTTTTTGGGGACCTTAAAAAGTGTATTCAAATCCAGCCAGTCTGGCCAATCAGCTGTTTTGGTTAGAAGTTCAACTGATGCACATGGGCATGTGTGATGGGCCTGATCGATTTCATTACATGTACTCAACCTGGGCAATCAAATTTTCACAAGGGCCAGTGCAGGGCACTTCCCCACTGGCCCGGTGGGGCACTTCCCCACTGGCCCTGTGGGGCACTTCCCCACTGGCCCTGCGGGCCACCAAGAGATTGAAGTTGATTTTGACCCCTGAAAAGGGAAATGCATTTGACATCCTATGACATTTGCTCCAGTTGGATGTGCACAACTTTTGCAAATTTGCAGCTATTCAATTAAACTCCATGTATTTAATCTGACTTCACAATTTAGCATTCCTGTTCCCTGTCATGTCGAGTATGAATCTGTCTTGAATAATGAAGACATTTGAAATGACACTTTATATTGAAAGCAATCGTTTTACAATTCTGTCATTTTTGAAATACCACTTTTATTTGGATTCACACTAACTTGAAATAACAGTGATATCTGAAGTCATGGTGAACTTTCAAAACTCTCTTTAATCTAGAATCAAACAGTTATTTAAAATCACACTACACATTGGGGGCAGAAAGGCAGAGCAGATGGCTCATATTTTCAGGCAGTGCACAAGCACTGTGGACAGGAACTAATCTCTTCACTTTTTTCTGCTGTCGCTGGGGCTCGGGAAGATGAAATATGAAAAAAAAAAACCTTTTACTCACAGATGAAGCTCTTCGAAGGATTTGACGGAGTAGAGGGGGGAGGTTGGATCTTTCTGTTGGACCTCCAGCTGGGTCTGTGAGATGTCCTGGAGCCTGTTGTGGAGGGCTTTGTTCAGCAGTGAGGCATCTGCCGCTGCCTTGGCAGCTGGTCCAAAAAAAAAAAAAAGGAAGTCAAGAACTTCGGCTCCCATAAAAGTAAATCTGCATCCGAGTCTATTGTCTGGAGCAAGAGCTAGGTCTTCACTCCGTCGGAAATATGCGGAGATGCGCTGACAATAGACATAGCCACGGATCTGCATGCCCATTTTGGACACGGCAAAAGCTTGGAGTTTTCTAGATCTTCAAGTTTACGATCATTTTCCGATAAATAATAATCAGTTAGTTCTTCAATCAATTAGTCCTTCCCCTTTTCAATTAGGATTGGGAATAACTGAATGGCTGATTTTCTTTTTGGTGACACGCTTTTTCCTTGTAGGCCTAAGAGCTAATCAAGAATAACAAAGACGAGGCAGCTGATCAAAGCAACTCAGTGATCAAGTGGTACGATTTCTTCACTAGTAAGCAGGAGGTCATGGGTTTGAGTCCTCTCGAGTACGAGGCTGTGGAAAAAAATTGGACTAAAACTGTTCAAAGGACTCTTGCGAATCGGTTGGCAAGTAATTAATCAGCAAACTCCAAATGCAAAATGACATGACTTTGAAAGTTATTTCAAGTATAACTACACATGACAATTCAGAAACAGCCCTTTGAAGTTTAGAACACACATCCAGGAGTGAGACTGACCAATGATAAAAATAGCTGAAAAAAGCTGGAAAAAGGCATAAAGAAGCTGAACTGTGAAAATCTCCTATACCTTAGTAGTACACAGCCAGTGAGGAAAAAAAGCTGAAATCCAAAACAGAAAAAGCTGAAATCGGCTAAAAAGCTGAGAAATCTCACCCCTGCACATCTTAGTAGAAATTTCAGGGTTCTCTCTCTACAACGCATAGTTGAATTTTAAAAACAAATGCGTAACTTTCTGCCATTGTGACAACACAGTCACCGTCTTGATATCAGTTTTGCAATCTACAATATTTTCTGACAATTCACTGGCCTTCCAGAAAAGGCTCCCTTTTCTCGAGAACTTCAAAATTTTCTTTTTGACCAATAAGAACCCCAATTATTAATATCAATTCAACCATCTGTGTCAGCAATCTGGACTCGACTTTCTGAGGAAGGCAATGATGTTTACATCCAGTGTGCATTTATTGTACTCCATACCTTCGTCTTCATCTTCTTCCTTCGCATTTGTATCACCTGCCGATAAAAGGTTGCACCTGTTTAATCAATTTTCATCCCCTGTATTTCATGCCTCATCCCCCCCCCAAAAAAAAACTACGGTCGAGGGCGATTTGAGGCAGATTGTAAAGGTAAAACAACACAGTCTGATTGAAAACTATTGCTTCGCTCTCATTCCTTCCGCTAACTTCCCCTCGTGTCTTGTAAGCCCTTTTTTTTAAATACTGCTTTTTGTAAATGGCCTGCTTGGAGTGAACGGCAGTTTGAAACGTGTGGTATGCAAGACACCAGGTATAAGAGTAAAGCATACGTAAGTCTTGCAACTTCACTTTTTTATTTTTTACATTTTACAAGTAAACCTCGGGGTTGGCTTGAATGTACATGTTATGGGAAATGCGCATAATTACCCAAGTGTAGTGCCCAATCAGCGCACTGTTCCCAAAAGTTTGACTAGTTACAGCGCCCTCAATTAAAACACTCAAAAGTCTCCGCTCTATGTGTTTGCGACAAAATTTGGCCTAGAGTGTGTCTGTGCCTGCCTGGCACCTGTGAGTGACCAGATGAGAGTCCTATTTCCCCAGGTTTCGGGAAATAGAACCTTGGGCACTCACAGTCCCTCAGGCTGCTCAGCCGTACACCAGCGACATCACTGCCACTCCGTATGTGTCTTCATATATAATTATTATTTGCAGACATGTCACTCAGACCAAACCTGTGTTCTGGTTTGATGCTTCTGTCTTGTCTCCTGAGGCATTCTGCTTCTCCGTAGCATTCAATCTGATGTTCTCCACCTACAAGACAGATTGGAAGCAACAAAAAAAGCTAGACAGTAGTGGGATGGTAACCCTGGATTACCCAGGACACCGTGCTACTTCAACGTCTGCTCTGACCAGAAGCATCCCCGCCTCCAGCAAATGAAGAAAACTATTGTTTTCAATGTGGTTTTTGTTCTTTTTCAAATCTTGTGTTTTCTTTCCATAGAAGTCCTGTTTTGGGAAGAGTGCCATATCTGTACACATCACTTGACACCCAATGTACAAACTCTATCAGACTAGCGAGTGTAAAAAAAGTGTGTGTTTTCTAGGTAAATGTTTCAATGTTTACCCTGCTTTGTTTGGCTTTTTGGGACATGTCCTTGCATTCTGATGGCTGATGTATTACTACAGAGAAAACAGGATAAGTGATGTCAGTATGCAGATTTCTTCCCAACTTTGTTTTAATATCCTAGACTATTATTTTACAAGGGAAACTAGTCATTCGTTACAGAATAATATGGTTCATGTTTTCAGTGCTGTAGATTAAACAGAAGTTGATAACAACCAGTCTAATATGCCATAACGAGTTGCAATGGCATTTTTTTACAATATTTATTGCTTTGTACTGTTTTGTGAAACAAAATGGCTTATACAAGTTTAGGTTTCAGTTAAAAGATGACATTGTTATTTCTGTATAGGCACAGAAAATGTGCCAGACCAGTCTGCTGGTATTTCTGCGTAATTCCCCTTCAAAATGGCTTATACAAGTTTAGGTTTCAGTTAAAAGATGACATTGTTATTTCTGTATAGGCACAGAAAATGTGCCAGACCAGTCTGCTGGTATTTCTGCGTAATTCCCCATTTAAATGTGCATGCGTAAGACAGTACAGGACTGATGGAAGTTTATGTTATATCTAGATTGTGCCATGCCGTGCGCGGTGCAGTCAGTCTTGAGGCCTGGTCTGGTGAGTGAACAGCGCTGTGTGTCCGCTCCTCGTGTGTGTGTGTGCTACCACTGCGAGTCTGTGAGCAATTCAGGTACTGGTTCCGCAATCAATGCAATTAGTTACTTTAGTAACCGTAATGTATCCGCAGTGGTTGACTTTTATCTGTCGAGTGTACTGTACTTAGTATGGGTCAGACAGGACCATGGGTAGAACAATACTGTGTGGGCAGAGTTGTAGGTGGAGTTGTCGAGGGTTATCAAAAGGTCACCGTTTATGTGCGTAGGAAGGTGGTCAAAGATTGGACAGGGAGACTGTCGGCAGATGCCCCGGGTTACCCATTTTTTCGGTTTAGTTAGCACCAGCAATTCACTGATATCTTGGGTGCAGTCACCCGAGTGAGAAGTGCTTACACTTATCAGCTGAAGTAGAGTTAGGATAAAACTTTTTTCCGGACATGCCGGGACAAACGTTCTGTTGTGAAGTCTGCAAGTTTAACATCCTTAGTTATTTCGCTACTTAGGCCTGCTGGGAAAACTAATCAGACTTGACAGTAGGTGACAGGGGACTAAATACCCTCAGAATTGTGGTGTCCATCGTCCGCCCCAGTTCTAGGGGTAGCGAAGCCCTACCATAATTCAAAAGTGAACCAAAATGAAAATAGAGAACAAAGAATAAATGAAAGATTGTTCTTTGCTACACACACTGAACACAAGTTACGTTAACTGTGAAACTCTCACGTAGGCCTAGGCCTACCTTGTTGTTTTAGTCCAGGGTGCGAATCAGTAAAAGCATTAGGCCTATAAAAGCATGTCAAGTTAAGTTCCTGCTCAACGCTTTCTGCATGCTGCGCTGGCCTGTTGACAGGCATGCATCTGTGCATGGCCATGATGACACTGTCACTTTCTGAAATGACTTTACATACGTTTATACGTGTACTGTTAAACGGAAGAACAACTGACAATACAATGGAAGACGAACTTACTTTACTAGCTAACTCTCCTTTCTCCTGTTCTTCTATAGCTTTGTCCCAGTTGAGCCCTGACATCATGAAGTACGCTAAAATTTTTGACGGATTTTCCAGTCACAGATAAAACAGATTCTGGTCGCAAACGCACTCCTCAAGCAAGACGTGAGATGAGAAATAGTTATTGCTACTAGCGCCCTCAATTATGTTCATCTATTCTAGAAGCGCGCCCTCTTTGAGGGAATTATTTTTTGCTAGTTCAGCCGCTACTTTCACATTGGATGACTCAAGTGGCATGGCACCGCAAAGACTTTGACAAATAGCTAGTATACTGTCTTGCTAAATAACATTTTATTAAACGTTGTAAAGTTTTTAGGGAGGAGCTCCACATCCGACCACCCTTAATTTTCAACTTCTTTGAGCACAAATTTTTTTACAAAAAATAAGTTACAAGATTTTTTTGAAAACTGAAACCCGGACCTTTCTCCAGTGAAAACACAACTTTAGGAGGCAGTGGCGTAACTACGGAGGGGGGGGGTGCTTCACCTCATAGAAATTAAAGAATGAAACAAAGGGGTGATAGTCCGCCTTGGTCAGGGTTTTAACTGTGACAATTGACAAAACCCACTCAGTGCTCTCCTCCAGAAAATGAGAGCCCCTTGCAAAATATTTCCCAATTATGTCGCTGGGGCTGCGTGGGACATTACTGCGTAGTGTTACCAGCCCATTAATTGGCGGGTGAGCCCGGGCGTCACACTCCAGAAACGGGAGTCTTGTTCCTTACTTCCAAGAGTGAAGCCAACACCCAAGCCCCCCCCACCCCCATCAAATTTGCTTGGGACTCTGGGAGAGCTGTGACGGGGTTCGAATTCTTACTAAACTCGACAACAAACAGAAAGAGGAAAGAGAGGAGTTTTAAGGATGGGCCACTAAACTTTACAACTTGGATTCTGGGAAAGAGAAAGGCACCTGTCTCTTGTCAAGGGAGGTGGGGGAGAGAGACAGAGAGAAATAAGACACCTTCATAAAATCGAAGAATTAAAAATCCTGAATTTATTCTTGTTGGTCCATCAACATCGGTGTGTCCAATATATTCAAAATAATCTGATGGTCCCTTCAAAAAGTTGAGAAAAGAATCTAGAGTTTATCTCGGGTGTCAGCAATGACGCAATACTAGCATGTTGTCATGGGACACAGAGTCTACACTATTCCCTTCAAATGGACCACCCCCCCCAATGTTTCTAGCAAAATGTTTGTAGAGGGTGGCGAAATGACACTATGAACATATTATAAACTTATAACATGTTTTATTTATACATTTGTCTTCAAAAAGTAGAAATTTTGCTTAAAAGTTTAATTTTTTCTTGCATTTCCATGCAAAGATAGCATTTGAATCTTCACAAAAACTTGGGCAAAGATTGTGAAAATATAAAGCATCTGTGAACTCGTCATCTGCTAAATAAGGCACTTTTTTTGGAGGTTGCCAGGAGAGATTTTGAAGAAGAAAACTTATCTGTTCCCCTTGCCAGGAATTTGCATTTTATATTGAAGTGAAAACCTTACAGCTTACGCCAACGCAAACTTGTCAAAAGAGCACAACCGTATCAAATTCAACAAAGGTATTACGCTGACTTGGAACACATCTTAACTAAAAGTAACCTGGAATAGTGTTTAAAAAAAGCAACAAAATCAATTACATGAGGTATCAAAGAAGTATTTTATGAGTGTAAAAAATGACTATCAGCCAATTGCACTTTGTTAACACAATCACAATATTTATAATTGATACATATGTACATTTTCATGGAACAGTGATACTGATCAGTCCCATTATATTATGAAAACCTTTTATTAAAATAAAAGATATATGACAAACAGTACACCAACCTTTCAAGCAAGTATTACAAATATGAAAGTGAGCCTCGAAAATCTAGGATTTTTCTTGTAGAAAAGCTCTTCTTGCAAAGGTGAAACAAAGGCACTTTTCAACTGAAAGGTTTTATTACATTGCATAGGATGAAATTGCATATATGTGACTGGTACCGGCTAGTAACTTGCAGTATTACACCGATATGATAACAGTAAGGCGGTGTCCGAAACAAGCCTCCAGAGCTACCGCTAGGTCTAATGTCTGTGCGTCTCCACATAATTTCCAATAGAGTGAAGACCTAGACCTAGCTCTAGACAACAGATTCAGACGCAGCCTAAATCTTCATTTGCACTACAAACAACTGGTACCCACTCCTCAATGGTAAGCACCTGTTCTCATAGCACCATGCTGTACAATTTAATCTACATTTATTTACATATTGACAAAATACAGATTACATGAAACACATCACCTGTTTAAATATACATTACTGGGAATTATCATGGAGTCAGTAAGATGTGCTGGGTTACATTCTACTTGCAACTGGACAATTTTAACTGCCATTCAACAATGCCAACAAATTAAGGCAAAACGTGGCCACTATTTGGGCCAGTGGAGGCCCAAGAAATGAAAGTGTATCTTCCAACCATCTGGCGAGTAAGGACAGGACTCTATATTTAATTATGTAAAATTTTAGCAAACTGAAACCTTAACCTGGTCTTCAACCTGCAGCATATCCAGGATTCAGGTTGGGATGGGGAGTTTTTCTAAATCAGTTGCCAAAACTGCTTCAATTAAAAAAAAAAAACAGAGTAACACGTCTCTCAGGGGAGGGGGGGCGGTGACTCTTCCCCTTTCCTCTGTCCCCCTCTCCTAGATGTATCTGCAACTGTCAACATTTTGTAGAGAGAAATAAATGTAAGATATTTGCTGGACTGTGATCTGCAAACGTTCCAACACAAGGAACTACATGCTGGAAATACTAGTTATTGGTTGGCGGCTGCAGCCATTTCCTATAGATGCATGTGCTGCTCCCAGCCACAGCTAATTAATTTTGACACGGCTTATTGTAACCACTGTGAACACAGCGCTTGTGATCTGGCCGAAACAAGTGCACTTGCCTCGGAAAATCCCTTTCCTTCTACAAAGTCAAGAATAATAGGGCAACTGGAATTTGCCTGTTTCACTATCATCATCAACAAGCGAAACCTCATGTTTCCTGGGGATTATGGACTAATTCCTGGGATGAAACGGACTCAATCCTGCAGCTGATTTCACGAAACTTCATGCAATCGGGCAACTTCACATACACTACTTTTCTCTGCATATTTGAACAACAAATTATGACATATTTCATTAAAAGTTATGCACTGCTTAAGTCTGCAAGTTGTGCAATAAACGATGGCGTAACTTATGGAATCCTTTAGGATTTTACAATTTAATCATGTCTTGTCAAGGCTTATTATTGATTAACTTCACAAGGTTTATGCAAGAAGTGTACAACTTTGCATCTTGGACTTTACAAAAAACCTGTTTGGCTATGACAGAACTTTGAAATTTTCTGCCTGGTTCTGATGAAGAAAAGGCGAAAGGATTTAAAAAAATGGCAGCGGGAGCTCATTTCACGACTGCTTAATGACTTCTTTAATACTAAAAAAGGAACAGCTGCTGTAAATGCTGTGGTCGTCATCCCACAAGGTCAGTCAAGTTAAAACGATGTGCAGCTGAGCAATTCTTCATGAGATCAGCTGTAAGTACATTGCACAGCTTTGCAACAACTTTTTAGCGTAAGGGGTACGCGTGGCAAGAAGTTGTGCCAAGTTTCGTGAAATCGGCTGACCATCTCTTGCCCTTATAGCTGATATCTAAACAGCACCACTTTTTAGTCTGTGCAGTTTGTTTGACAGAACTGTCACACCACCTGAGCTCAGCTGAAAAGCATATTTCCTACTGACTTTTGAAGCTGCCGATAGCTGTGCACTGGTCAGTGGGTGGGAGGCTCCTCGTATGGTGGTTTGAGCTGGCAGTACTGACCGTCCAATGTGTAGCCCAGTCGGCGGGCCACTCTCAGCCGGATCTTGAGGGCCGGCCCCAGCTTCAGGCCCATGTTCTGCAGCAGGTGGTCCTCAGTCAAGACGGGCAGGATCTCGCCATCGATGGCCTGGTCTCTGAATACCTGAGGTTTGAGGATTATTGAATGGGGGAGCAAGTTTGAACATGGTCTTCACCTGCATCTTGTGTCAAGAGCTAGCTCTAAGTAGGGCTGCGCCGAATATTCAAACAAGAATCAACTTTCAGTTTGAAGTATAATGTACAGGGTAAAAAAGGTTCAACCTTTTGGTAAAAAAACTGCAATCTAAACTCTCATTTCAAGGTGCTAGGAGAAACTTCAATGCAGCTGATCAGCAGAAAGTGATGAGAAGTATGAACAGGAAAGTTCAACATTTAACGTCATGAATTTCGCTTTGCTGAATTTTTATACAAATATTGAACCAATCTTTCAAACAGTCAACACAATCTGCCAAAGAGCAATAAGTTTTGTGCCAATGTCTTGTCTCCTATTGGTAATGTAGCCCCCCCTTACGTTGCTCACCCTTTGTCCTTCCTCACCGGACACGCCCATTTTTGAGCACTCACCTGAACATACTCTTCGCATCCCTTCAGCGACTGGATGAACTGGGCCACGTCGTCCACCGTCCACTGGCTCATGTCACTGGGCAAGAACACTGCATCGTTATTTGGGGTCCGCACAGACGGACTGACGTCGTCCCCGCTGTGGGCGGAATTGTGGCCACTGTTGTTTCTGTTGTCAGGAAAGCCTGCACACAGAAATTATCAAAAAGGGTTGGGATTGGGTGTTGTTGTAGCACAATAAATGACGACCCCAAAATAAATACAGAAGGTTAGAGGGGCTTATGCTTCACTCCTTCTGTCTTTAAAAAAAAAAGATTTTGCTAGGATCAAAACATCAGACCCTCTAACCTTTTTGATGTGTGCGTTTGGATCACTGTAGCCAAACTGTGTGTAGCAGTTTGTGTATATTTACCTTTCTCTGCCCTAAAACTACAGGAAATTTATCCTGGAACGTTTTGATTGGAAAACACTTTTTCTTTGTTGTACTTTGCTAAAAGAAACTTTTGTTCCGGATCTGCTATCTACAGATGCTATGCTGGACTTAGTTTTAGCGGTAGACACAATACCAGACCAAAACAACGGACAGGAAGAAAAAAATTCAAATAGTAATGTGTTTATACTATCATTACAGAAAAATCGCACTATAAAATCACATTTTGAAAACGTTTTAAAAATCTAAAACCAGATACTAAAGTTGTGATTAAGTAGGTCAAATTCTTGGAAAACTTTCCCAGAATTTCTGGGAGGCAACATTTCTGGGAAATATTCTCATCACCATATTTACATTTACAGTAGGGGTAGGAGGAGATGAATAGGCAAGATGAGGAAGACTTTAAGGGATATTTATTTCAAAACCCCAGTCTGCGGTTGTACAATGAGCCTCCAACGGCATCCAATTTATTTGTACCTGGTGTCTTGGGCACAGCATCTGGTCTTGTCAGCTCTATCATTTTGACAGAAGGTGTTTTGGTGGTGGGGGTAAGCAAGGACTGTGTTCGTCTGCCCCCCTCCCCCTGACCAGTCAATGGTGCCTGAGTGCCTGTGAGGAGAGCGTTGCCGTTGATACGAGTTCCCGGTTGATGTGAGTGAAATCTGAAAAAAACACACATGTATACGTATAAAAATTGGTACAAAGCACAAATAAGGTTGTGTTACGACAGTGTCTCAGGAAATATTCATGCAGTCGACTCCCTGTACTCTGAATTTATTTGAGACAAATTTCTTGTTGTAATATATGTGACCTGTCACTACAAAACAAGCTGAAAGTCAGAATTTTTAAAAATTGAGATAATTTTAGTCAGCAGAAAGAGAGCTTTTCAATGGTATGCACATGAAAGAATTAGGGTTAAAGTATAAGGTGACAATGTGACATTATTCTGGCAGCTTTGCATCTTTATTTCTGACTTTGTTTCAACATTTCTGACCGGGCACGAATGATGTTATCATCAAAATTGCTGAGAAAAATGACATTTTTAAATATCTGATCCAAAATAACTTTTTCAAAATATTACAATATGCTAAAATTGTCCTCCACTTCAATATTTGACTTTGAACCCTCAAAACAGGAAAGAGCAGAAAGCAACTTTACGATCATTTTATTGTGCCAGGTCATATAAATCTCTGGTCCAAACTACATTGTGCTTAATTGTTTCCACATGGAACATTCAATTAATATGAACACAAACAACAGAAAAATTTGGTCAACATCAACACATTTATTGATCCTGTTGTATAAAAAGGCATTGTAAGCAAATATCTGCAATAGATTTCTTTTGCAACTTTGAAGACAAAATTTCATTTGGGCAAATTTGACCCTAAAAGCAAATAATGTAATTTAACGCAGATTATGGCACGGTCCCACAGACTGCTTCATAAAAAAGAAGTCAACTGTGTATTGTGCAAGAGTGGAGCTGTGTGTCTTTGTGTATCTAAGGACAGGACAGCATGCCTATCAGTTTGATCAGAAATCACACTGGTTCCAATGCCAGTTACGGAGCTTACTTATGAATGCTTGTTTTTATAAATGGACAGATCTCATGCCAGAGGTCATAAGAACAGTTCTTGCTGATGTGAGTCCAGTTTAGTCTGTGGTTACAGTGCCGTCCAGCGACCATGTGCTTTTTGCCCGCCTCGGCACATGACATCTATTGAATCTGAGAAATTGTCCACCAAATTCCATCAAATTTACGAAGAATTGGTTAAATTGAGGCAATAAGGTACGAATAATTGATAAGTATGATGATTATGTTAATGTGTAGCAGAATTATCAAGTACTTTCATGTGGGTTTTGAGGTTAAATTGACCGACATGTACAGTGCATGAACATTTTGGGTACACATGTAGCGTAGTGTTTATAGTGGGTGCATCTATGTACATTTGTAAGCTCATGAACTTTCCATCCTCGGTTCACTCGTTTAAGTAACTCAAGTGCTGAGTTGAGGATGTATAGATAATTTGGCTTTAAGGATTGTCTGATTATCTCAGGAAAGAAAACGGCTATAACTCCTTACACATGTAATTATGCAAGTTTGGGACACATGTGGTTCACTTGACATGTTGAATCTGATGTATGTGTCTTTAGATTGCAAGTTTAGGTCTGCAGTGTTCGTGGAGCTGTGTTGAAGTGTTGTCTGCTTAGTTAGGTTTTCCTTTTTCCTTTGTTTGTACAGTTTTCATGGAGTGTCTAACTACACGTGGAGTACGCCGAATTACATATGTAGAGTGCCCACGCAGAGTGACTCGCAATAGGTCGCTGATACGCATGGAGAGCTAATAAATATTGCTTCAAATGGAGATTACTCCAAAGTCAGATGATCCGGTGAAGTTCGTGTCAAGTTTGCGATCTCAGAGTCAACGACAAGAGTGGACTTGCAGCTTTGAGGGTTTTTTTGAGTGACAGATGCTAAGGCCATGGTCAGACTATGTACATGACAGCAAAGCTCTTGATAAAGTATCATACAGGGCCAGATCAGGTACTCTATAGGCCCTAGGAACCAGTGCTCCGGAGGCCCAACTCTGCCCAGGGCACCAGCACCAATTCCATGGCACTCCCGCCTTGCATTTCATGTTGATGTCAAGCTGTACATAAGAAACTAAATTTTAAAGGCCAATGACAAGTCTGAAGCTTTCCCTGAAACCAAAACTTCAAAGAGAGATGCTAAAATTTGTATAATCCTGTCTTGTGTGCACGTGGTTGTTGGTGTAGATGTGGGATTATATGGCAGACCGTGATTATTTTGTTGGCCCTCAAAGTTTTTGTAGGCCCCCAAATACTCTGGTGTGCCTACTGCATAATCTGCCCCAGGTCACTTTGTTGCAGCTAACTGGACTGTCATAAAGCTCGTATGTTCAGACGATAATTGGTTTTCAAGCATCTTACCTTGGTCTCAGACTTGCCTGTCCTTTCTGGAATGCTGCACTGCTTGAGGAGGAGACTAGTACAATGTGTGGACTCCGGCTTATCTGAAAAGTAGTGGACCAAACCTTTATCAAAAATACATGAAATGTTTCTACAAAAACATGGATGCATCCTTAGGTTCACTTTTACATGGTTCATGAAAAAGTGCTCCTTTTTATTCCGGGATGGGTCAGCCAACAATGTTAACTTTTCCTACTGCCATGTGCTAAACACATGGGCCACCACATGTAAGAGTGTAAACTATAAATGACCAGAAAACAAAACTCCAGATTGAATTGAATGGAAAATTTACACATCTACGCATAATGGATGTCTTTACCAGTATTGTGTTCGAGTCCATCACAAGTCCTTTCATGAGTCCCTTCATAAGTCCAGTCACAAGTCCCTTCACAAGGCCAGTTCATAAGTAACAGGGTGAACAATGACAAATGCACGCTTTTGTCACAGGTCATTTGAGTAGCTAATGTGAATTGACTGACTGAATTACTTGTGAAGGACTTGCGATGGACTCGAACACAACACTGGTCTTTACTTGCATGCCGAGTTTCAAGAGAAATGATTATGGGGCAGCCAATCTTGTCCTCCACTAGAGAAAGTTACCCCCCCCCCAAAAAAAACATCTGGCTCTTTTAGGGTCAATAAATATGTCTGGTCTGCATATACACACCTCACGTTCTTTGTCCCCGCCTCCGTGCATCTCAAAATGCTGAGGAGAGTTCTGCTTTCGGGACTTGTGCGCCATCGTGGCATCCTGTTTGTCGTAATTGGTGAGGGCCTGTGGGTCGCCAAGGACAAAGGATACAGGTGAACTCTGCCCGCTGCCGCTGCTCAAAGGAGAGTCGGGGTTGTTGGCACTTAGGTTCAGCGATTTCCGTGCATTTTCTGTGAGTGAGAGAGAGCAGAACCATTCTCAAAAGGTTTTCAAACAATTAAACAGTGAAGACGAATGAGTCACAAGTTGCTTTAGCCACTTTTGAGTTCAACGTCTTTAAAAGAATCTGGCCAAATGTAAAGCAATGGGAACTGAGATCATCTATCACCCACAAAATATCTATTTTCATCAGGTTATCAAACTGAGCTATGCATCGAGACTGAGAGCTCAGGGTCAGGGGTGCATGGAAGGCATTTTCATTATGCCAGTGTCAGTTTGCCGAGTTGTAACTTGTTCACCAACCTCGTGTCGTGTAAAGTGATAATGGCACGCTGCAGGTCATGCTTCAGGGGAAATAATGACGGCCAACGAATATCGTTTATGTACCAATTTTGGATTCATTTGTCAACCTATATTTGCCAACAGGAATTAATTATTGGGGCACAGCACCCCCACATCCCTCGGTCGCTATGCCTCTGCTCAGTTTGCTTCTTCCAGTACAAACTGGGGCACTTTTGAGGAAGCCTTGGTTTCATGACTAGAAAGACTAATAATGAAAAAACTAAAACTCAAAAGCTGCTCTAGGGACTTCTGTTTCATGTTCACAGAGCTGGTTACAAATTGCTCTGAACACAGACAAACTTCATGTCAAAACGGCTGAGGACTTTTGCCAAAATGCTTTAGGCCTTAAGAGAAAATCTCCCACAACTCTGAATCAGAGTTGAGTGTATTACATTTTTATAATGTACCGTCCACAGAGTTTCATGCACTGCCAGCCACCAACATTCACTGTATTGAACAGAGTCAGCTTCATATTTAAATTACATGCATTCCCCCTCGTGAGTCCAAAAGGGATTATCCACTGTTTATATTCGCACCAATATTCTGAGGTTCTGGGGAGTTAGCCGCCTGGAAGATACATCTCTGCTGCTCATCGTAAATGTCGCCCTCTGTGGGCGAGACACTGCGGGAGCGCTTTCCGTTCCTATACTCAGAGGGAAGGCTTCGCTTTCGGGGGCCATCCCTGGTCCCTAGCAGGTGAGAACCATTGGTCTGGTGGAGATGGTTGATGATTTGGTTCAGCTGGCTAGGCTCCGACTCCTGTCTGGAAAATGGAAAGGCAAAATTTTTTCCTCTTAAAAAACTAAAGTGTGAGACAACTGCTATCCATTTTCGGGGGGGGGGGGCAAAACTCTGTAAATTAAAAAGGCTCTAAGGTTCAATTCCCTTTCCAAGCCGGGCTAGCTCCATGCGCAGCGAGTACACTATACCAAGAGCCTCATGATGATTGGCCCAGCAAACTTAGCCTGAGTCAGCAAAGATGCAAAACACCACAGTTAGTGTGGGAAACATAAGTACCCTTTACATTCCACACGCAAGCACATTCCTGCACTCCTCTCACGTAAATATGCTCTGGATTTGTGCACACTCAGCTTTAAATGGGGGGGGGAGCAAAAGTTTTTCGGGGGAGGAGAAGCCTGACTTAAACAATTTCTTCATATCTTTCCAAGTAGTGTTTCTAAGAAATGAAATGAAGCAGTAAAATTCACTGGAACAATATGCCTCTTTTTTAGGAACGGCAAAGCCAGAGCTGTATATAGAGAAACGTAGTGCCAACTTCAAATTTTGGAACAAAATGGCTGTTCATTGTGCGTACAGTTGAGCGTGCGGCTATTGTGTACAAACTGTTCACACAAGTGTGTATCTGCCTGCAATTGGGGACCCCCTATTGTTCCTCTTTTGTTTGTACTTTAAAGTTTTTAGAAGACCACCCATATGTTTTGTACACAGTTGTCAATCGGGGACCCTCTGTCATTCGGGGACCTTGTTGCCCTCTATTGCTAAGGGTCCCCAATTGAACGCAGAAACAAACTCATGTACACTGGCGCAAACACCTGTCGGTTTGTTTCCAACAACAGTAGCACTTATGATGTTGCAAGTCTCTCTATACATGGCTCTATACATGGCAATATGGGTATATAGCCAGTCCCCACACTACCAGTGTGTGGACCTCCATGTGAACAGAAGTAGTTACTGCACAGCAAGAAGGGAAGACTTTGTAAGAGCCAATGATTGCAGCCTTCCTTGACAATGGTCCACATGAGCGTGCTGTGCAGTGTCACGCATCAACTCTGACCTCAGGCACCTACCCCAGTTTGCGTTTCTTCTCTGCTGCGCTGCTGTTCAGGCTTGTCAGGCAGCCATTGGAGGCATTCCTCTTATCGGATGGTCTTGTGCGGGGCTGGGGAAATAACAATCCAGAAGAAGTTGCTGTTATTAAAGCGAAATATTTCAAGAATATAAGAATTGAACCGTTTGGGTGAACGAGCAGTTTGCTTTCCACAGAGAGTCAAGCACAACTGTCATTAAAATGTTCTGAATGACGAATACTAGTCTTTGCCTGTAACAGCGAGGTTTTACAAGTCTCTAGTGGAGTTTTTGCCACCGGTTTCGAGGGTTGCATGCATGATTAATAGGAAATGTACCCTATTATGAAACTTTTCCACTTCATTATGAGATGAGGCTTTAAAGCCCAACGAGAATGGAAGCTAGGGAAGAGTTTGGACCCTTTGGACTATTTAAAGCTTCCATTTTGTGTCCACCCTATAGACGTCACATGCAGTCTTGAGGATAGGCATTTGACTGTGCTGTCCATATGCAGAGCCTTACACTACCTTGCAAAATTTTTTGCACCCTACACACCGAGTAACACCAAACTCACTTTGACAGTCCAGATCCCTCCAAAAATTGGCTTGGAATGAAAAAGGCCCACATGGAAAAATGATGGGCTCTGAAGCAAGCTAGGAAACATCAGCCAGCGCAGCCAACGAGAGCCATTTTGGCCTGCAGTACAAATTTTCTAGTTGGCTGCACAGATTTGTTTCTGACTTCAATTTCAGTATGAGAGCTGCAAGTGTTACTCAGTTACTCAATTAATCAATATACTGATTACTTAGTTAGACATTTCTATTCAATTATTCAAACCACTTTGTGACAGTAACTCCCAAAACACCATTTTGTGCTAAGGAACCATTAAAAGACTATATTTTGGGACTGAGTTAAAATTGCCTCATTTCCATCAGTACAAAGCGAAGTCCAAGACATAGGTGAGATTTGAAAAAAACATGGGCGCATGTCATTTTTGGGCAGTCAACACACCACCACCACCAATGGATGCACAAGGCAGATACCTGCAGCAGACCCCTGGACATGAGGATCTTGAGGCTTTTGCCCCGGTGACGGATGCTCCGTTTCCAGTCCTTGGCCGTCTCCCGCCCGCTGATGTACTGGAATTCGTTGGGTGTATGCCATCGATTCTAAATACAGTTTGGAAAGTTAAAGAGCCATCACAGAAATTTGAGTAAAATGTGAGCAATTCTTTTGAAATCCTCATCAAAGTAATTAATATGCAATAGTGGAGTGAAATTAGTTATTTTGACAAAGCAGTGTGCACACCATACAGCGAAAATGGATTGGGCTGTAAGCCAACAATTGACAATCCCAGATCAGTGCAGAAATACTTGTAACTTTTGGATTTAATTTCAAATACCGGTTTATGAGAATGTCTTTTTTGAGAAGATCTTAAACTTCCTTGTGTGAAAAGGATGCAAAGATTTAGGAGGTGTTTCATATGATTGTTTTGACGTGCCCAGTAAACCGCTGTGTCAGCTTTATACTTCCATTTCTTTCCTAACAAAGCTGTGCCGTTTGTTTCCCACGCCAAAAGCATGAACACAAAATGCTCTCCAATAGTGAAACTAAAAGTGATTCTTCAGGTAAAGCAAAGTGATGTTTGCACTCATACCTCAAACAATATGCTCTGGCCTTTGCTCCCCTGACATAGCTTGTCAACATAGAGCAGAGCTCTGTTCGAACCGCAATCCACTTCAAGCACTTGATTGCCTTCCATGTCCCGAAACGGCTGGTAGTCCTCACTTCGGAGCAGGTCCCCTGTCTGAGAATTAGTGAGGAAGTTTAAGAAATGGCGATCAGTTGATGAAAAAAACTATATAAACAAAGGAGGTACATTGTAATATGGATATACGTGGATGACATAAAAGTGGATGACAGTTGATGTGAGTGGATATATGAAATGGATTTCAATAAATGTGAGTGGATATAAGTCAGAGCATGTGGACAGCAAACAAAACAGGGCAAGTCTAGTTGGGTTGGGACAAAATCTGGTAGACAAACACAATTGATTAAAAGGACAAAAACCATAGACTAAGGAAAAAGTTAAAGGGCACGGGTGAAGGTTGGGATGCATGCACCTGTTTGGTACATGGCATTCGTCAAAGCTTAATGGGAAAAACGTGTACAGTGTACAGGCTGTCATAGGTGGGACTATTCTATAAAATTTCCCTTTCCATTTGCCAGCATCATTGGGTTTTCCAAGGGTAGAACTTCATACCATCATCCCAAAGTCTATGTTGCCGCTCATGGGCGAATAGCGCTCCTCATCCATCCCATTTACATATTCATGATTCAGGAAGTCCTCGTCATCTTCCTCATCCAAGTCCTCCTTGTCGGCAAATGCCGACCTCTCCAGGTGGCCTCTGTCCTCGCCCGCCTGGGCTGTGTCTGTGGTCTCGCTCATGGGCTCGGCCACCTCTATGATCTCAGTCTTGATTTTGATTTCTGCAGGCGTGGCTGGTGGTGGCGATTGGCTCACCCCGTCCTTGGGCAGGTGCCCTGCTGTCCCCTGTACCTGGTTGGCCATGACTTGCTTGGCATCAAAACCTCTTTTAAACAAAACAGACAGGATTTTTAAATTAAAAAATATGAGTTTTTGGCTGTAAAAGTGAGCATTTTAAACTTTGCAACTCTATCTTTTGTTACCATTTTTTGAACAATAGTTGTGGAATCGAAGTTTTACACTGCCTCTAGAAATCTGTCGGCTTCTGTGATCTGTCATCCTTCTTCTGTCTCCAAAAGTTTTTGGTTTTAATTGTGACAATTCAAGTCACAATATCAGAACGGGCAGTATCAGACCAACTCCAAAGTTTTCAATTACTTCTCAATGCTCATATTTTACCCTTCAGATTAAAAAAGAACCCAGAAACAAAAATAAACAGAAAAATGACAAAGAGATCCTAAAAAAGCTTTTTTTGTCTTGATTATTAAAGGGTCCAGTCGATAAAGTTTTCCAAGACCACCTTTTGTACAATTTTATACTCTTCTCAACTGAAAAGCAAAATCAAAAAGGTTTATATACTAGTATAATCGATGGCACAAAAATGTGACTTGTCCACTGTGCTTTATTTTCGCGCCCGTTATGTGGCTTTGTAAAGTGCACTGAACATTTGGTGACATTCCACTCAAAAGCCAGTTACCTTTCTAGGAGGAAATTCCTCCCCATGAAATCAAGAAAGCTTTGACAGACCTGTATCCTTTCCTAATATTTCCTGTTGTGAATCGGTAACTAAAGCAAAAAAAATCTATCTGACACTAAAGGAAGTATTCAGCGCCGTTTTATCCATCCATTCAAACCACGGCCTGTTTCGCGGTTGTGTAAACTCTGGTGACTGGTTGGGACTGAAGTTCCACTTTTATCTAAGTCAATTGGCTGAAAACATGTTCACATTTCCAACTCCATGGAACAAACTCGGAAAAGGGAAGGCATGACTCTTAGTGAAAGCTGATGGTCTTTACAGGAAATTGGTGGCAACAGTTTGGAGACGGCATACAAAGAGTTTCACTAAGCTACTGTATACAATTGTTAAATTTCAACACTTGTGGTACTGAACTTCACAATGACCGCATCATCAGCATTGCACCTAGAGCTGCATCTAGGTTTTCGTCAGTTTCATATTAAAGTGGGCACACGCCAACCAAAGCTCTGGAAGCCCATTCCGCACACAGCCAAAAGAAACTAAAGGAAAGAGACGCCGTTGGGTTCTAATCCCGATTTTTGCGGTAGGTTAATTTCAACTGAGATTAAGCAAAATGAATCCAAATTAAAACATCAAAGGGTTTGCGTCAGTGAGTTTGTTTCTGCATTCAATTGGGGACCCTGAACAATAGAGGACAATAAGGTTCCCGATTGACAGAGGTTCCCCGATTGAAAACTGTGCACAAAACATATGGGTGGTCTTCTAAAAAAGTAAGTAAATGTACAAATAAAAAAGGAACCATAAGGGGTCCCCAGTTGCAGGCAAATACACACTTGTGTGCGTGCACACCGGTGGCCTCATCAACCAGCAGTCCGTAATCTTACTTTCGCTCAACTAAAGTTTAGCCTAGCCTAGCTGACTAACTAGAAGAGGCGCTACCGCGTTTGAGCAAGAAATTTGAAGAAAACAAATGTAATGTCACTTAAGTTTTCCCCTTCGTGTCGATGAAGGGAAAAACCAATATCAAACTTTATGGTTCTATTTTACTTAACAAGGCCAGTGATTTAAAGCACTAATCATTTCCATAACCCTATACAGCTTCACTTTTTAGACATCGCAGGGGGCAAACGAGCGAAAGACTACACCAGTCTATTAATATGATGATGAGAGGAGATCTACATTTCCGCCCGGCGGAAGACAAAAAACATCGTGAGAAGTCCTGACGTCACTAGAGGCTCTCACGTGACCGCGCGAGACGGAAGCCAGACATTAACGCAATATCCCGTAGTCTTATCAGTCCGTCAACAGGCGCTCGCGGGGCCCTGGCCATGGCGTGGTGTGGCGTGGCGCGTCCGGGCGCCCTGGCAAACATTTCCCGTAGCTATAGTAGGCGAGGGGGGTCGCGGTCTCCGAATATGGCATCGCGATTAACTCTGCAAAACACGAAGTTCTGATTTCCGCGTGGCCTTAGGATAGGGGCTGGTGACTAAAAACGCATCCGCGGTTTTTCCCGTGAACGGGTTGCTGGTGTTTGAGACGGAGGGGCCCAGGGTCCCCGATTGGCGACTGATGGCGGCGGCGCCACGTGGCAAGCTCTGATCACAATGTCTAGCTGGTGGGTGAGAAACATTTGTGTTGCCAAACACAGGTCGGGAACGGGACGATTAAAAGTACATGGCACATTCAGCCTTTTAAGAAGTGACGATTTCCCAAATTTTGCAGAATTTCAGACAAGTGCAGAAACCATCCTATGGGGACTGAGGACACTTCTGAAATACTGTGAGTCGCATAGCCTATACACTGAATGATCAATCTTCGAAAACTACACGTAGTTTTCTGACAGGTAGAATTACGGTGAATCATTGCTTGCGCCGTAGCACGTGTCAGCGTTGAACGCAACGGTGGATTCTGTCGAAGGTCTTGTGCAGACGCCACTTGACCAAGTTGATAGGGGCATCTGCTATAGACGTGACGCATCATCAGCCCGTGTGCTGACACGTTTAAAAACTGTTCCATGAGCAGGAAAACTATTTCTATTCCTCTGGAACCCTTTGTTGAAATAGTGATATCTTATTTGATATGTTTAGAGCATTCGGAGTTCATGACGGAAACAATAACGGAAGTTCGAAGGTCGATTTGACTCGTGACAGATAGGCCCCAAAATGGCGGCTGCTTCGATCGCGCAATGGTGCGAGTCCCGCCCCCGACTTAACGGCTTGTCACGGAGAGGATGTAAACTGGTCAACCAAAATGCGAAAATGAAGCTCATCTTGAGTCTACGCACTGCCATTCAAATCACACGAAAAGCTAGTGTGATAAAAGGTGTTACATGCGCATGCATTTTGCATACTTCGTTTGCAGGTTTGAATTAACTTGCCGGTAGTATAGAGGATCTCCCGGTTAGAGCAATTATGTAAGCAAAGAGTTCTGAAAGTTGAGACATACGCACAGGCTTGATAAAAATACACAGACCAGCAATAGGCCGGCCAGTTTTAGGTTTATAACGTCCCGTACCATACAATAATCACGTTTAATTATCAAGAATTTTTATGTTTTAAGCACTAGGGCTGCAAGAAATCTCGTAGTCGTACGGGTTATCGCTAGTCTTTGTGACAAAATGTTGACAAAGTTCTGTAATTACTGTAATTAATTAAGATTGATGGTTAATTAAAACTTTAAAAAGTTATTGGTCCATCTTGCCTTTTTAACCAGCGGTTGCTGCATCACCCAAAGCCTTCCCTTTCCCGAAGAAGAGCATCTTTAGAATACCAAACATCACATGGGCGGCAAAACAGACCTGACAAATCAGTTTTTGAAAGCTGCAACAGGAAATGTCACACCACAACGCGGCGTGCATGGCTTCATTAAATACCCTTCCCTGGGTTGACGTCAACGCCAGGAACGTTACATCGGAAGCAAAAACACAACAGCGTGCATTACGTGCCTTGCCCTGTAAACGGTTTCGAAACTTTATCGGCCGAGGTTGAGGTTCCGATCGTTTCGAAATCGCCACACGCCCGAGCTCCACGCTGAACCGACATTGCGACACAGTCAAAAATGAAACCCAGGCCACGATGCATTGTCAATTGCCTACAATGTACATGTACAGGCGTTTACTTGTGTTTGTGGAAGCTGAAACGCTCTAGGAAGAAGGGTCCAACTGACAAAAATCTACGCAATTGTGATGACGCAAACAAAGGCAGAAAATATTTTATTTCATCCCTTACTGTCTTTCCTACATTGTCTCACGGTTATGCTTAACTCCGAATTCACACGCAAATCTTTGGAACGGTGACTGGGTATAAATAGTTGTTATGATACACAGCACAGTCATAGTCTTTTCAAAACTTCCAAGAAATGCGTGGCAATTGTCGATAACCTGTAACCATGGCTTGCATTGTTTTCGTTTTTCCGACGAAACTACGATCACCTTGTGGCGTTCAATACACAGTGTACATGTGCACACGCCGGGCTCTATGCTAACCACAGCCCCAGTTTCCTGAGCAGTAAATATTGCACGTCCATTGCTAGCCTTCAAAAAAGCCACGGCGTATACGACACAAGTACAGAGACCAACCGGTGACGTAGCCGTGTCACACGCGCCTTGAAACAAGTCTACGGTCAGAAGCAAACTTGCTTTTAATCTATACAAGTCGTCTTTCCACCCGCAGGACTGAAAATCTGTACAATTGAACATAAATTTATAATATTATTGAAGTAATGCTTTAATTTTTTTAAAGAAAATATCCGTCAAGAGGGGCAATGGGCTTGTGAACTCGCACGCAATTTCCTGTTCTGGTAATTAAAAGGGGTCGGATGTTTCCATCAGGAGTAGAAATGGATAGGCCCATCTGGATGCAGATTTTGAGTGTCTCTTTCTGGTTACACGCTGAATGCGTGCGTCTATCCTGCACGCAAATCACTCCCTACTTCAAGGGCGGAGCTGACCATGGAGCGTCGCCACGGAGGGAAGGGGTTGCTGTGCTAGCTTAAATAGCCAAGTGCAGTCACGTTGGGAAATGCGAACGAGCGGTAATGAATGCACAAACAAAGTTGGCACGAGAATAGGGAAATAAATGAGTACATGTAGTAAGTAAAGTCATCACACAGTTGACATATGATAGGCCTACGTGGATGGCCGTTCAGAATTGAGCAGGGGGAATCCCCTTTCAATCCACACAAAAACGGGCCTCGGTGGAAATGCATTCATTTGCTGATATTACGTAATATCTACCAAGTACCATGCACTTGTACAGTTTGAGAACGGTTGAAGAATGAACCGTGTCAAAACCTTCCTTCTCGAACTGAACTCGAACTCAGATGCTGGTGTAGCAGTCAAGTTGAGGCCGTGATGTCCCATGAGTGACCAGAGTATGTCTCAATAAAATATCCATGTTTGTTGCTTACCTTCACGACTGAAAACACAGCGCCCCTCCCCCCATGCGAATCTGTGCGTTGCCAGCAAGCACTGCCGCGTATACTTTCCAGCGGAGATTTTGTTTTAAGGAATGTTTCAAAGTGGACATAATAACTACTGAGCAAGACCGAGAGGGGTAGGGCGAAAGTTGTCACGACAAGTCATATGATGTGGGCTCCAACACTACGTACTGTTTACCTGTGCACTTACCGGGATCCACAACAGGACGCTTAGCCGTAATATAATGTCCAACCGCCCGATTGATGGGAGTATTGGTGTGTTCAGCTTTTCGTGATAACTCTGAGGCGACGTTATATACAGGTCACGATTGAGTGTACATGTATCTCCCTCACTGTCCTCAGTGAAAGAACCCAAGACTGGTGGGTTTGTGTCGCGACGTTCTTGTCCGAAGCCCGGTCGATTGATTCGTCATGCTCTCTCGTCGCCCGTGAGTATTTCAGTCCGACCCGAGACTGCCCCAGGAGGGAAACAAAGTGTATTGCGGACTAGTCACGCACTCCCCGCGCCGATCACAACTAGACAAACGCTGTATGCTCACACCGCGAGGTCACCCGTATATTACACAAAACAAGACTGGATGTACGGCAGGCAGGAAGTCGCTATAAACCTATGGAAAGCGATGAGGTCCCCGTGCCGTTCCCGTATATATCAGCTGCCAACAGACGGAACTTGCCCGGCAGGGATGAACAAGAAAAAAAAAATGCGGAAATCCATGCCGGAAAAAGGGCCTGGCGTGCAGTAGGGCTAGGCTTCTTTGGCTTTCTGGCCGAGCGGTGCTGTTAGTGATGATGATGTGGCCCCGCTCTCGTCTATACGACGACTATTTGATGCGACGTCGTGTCATCTGCGATAAGTGCGACTGTGGTGCGACTGTGCGACAAAATCCGCCCGCAGAACAAATTACTCCGGCAAAGGCGCGGCTTTACTCAGGGACGCTGTTTGTGTAAGCTTCCTATATATGTTTTTGTCAAGTATACCTTCAAATCCAGTGTGACCAGCGTGGATTGCTGAGGCAGGGAACATCGCACAGAATCACCGATCCTGTGAAAGGCGACAATACGACATCTCCTGGATTGATTAAGCCACTGATGGATTGTAATGGATAAGACACTGTGCCAGCGGATGTGACTCCCTCAAACAATCAACCGTAACCAAACGGTCCACGGTCACTGCCGTCCTATCATCAGTCGAGGGCTGGTAGCATTATCCAAGTGCAGGGTTGAAATAAACGACAAAAACCATACCCTAGAAAAGAAAATCCATTTTCACCAAGCTAAATATCTCGAACTCGAACCGCCATGGGTGGCTATGTTACAAAATTTTGACTG